GGTTCCATTATTGGTTACCGTCTATACTTTTTTGTACCTACTATGGACTTGCTATGTCGNTAACTAGTTCACTGCTATGGACATGTTAGGTCTGTGGCGGTCTTTAATCTTCGCCATCCAAAAAAATTGGACGGTGTCAAGCCTGTGGGCTAAAATACTATTCATTTTCGCCCATTATATATAGAAAACATATATGAGACCATTTATCTTTGTTACAAGGTGGTTAAATTGAGTGGTTGCATTTATTCCATTAACTAAGCTCAAAGTTCAAAAAGAATTTTCTCGAACTTTTTGATACACGCAAGCCATCAGATTTCACATCGGATGGTTATAAGTAATTGTGACCTTTTGTTACTGAAGGTAAATGGACTTATTGTGTGTGTGTGTATATCTATAGAAAGAGACTACACAATGCCAATGAGCGAAAAAGAATGGTATTTTGGCCATAGGCTCGGTGCCGTCTGATTTTTTCAGACAAGTGTGGATTAAAAGACCGCCATGGACATAGCATACCCATAATGGTATTTTTTCACGCAAAACAATACAAACATTGCTCCCGTAGATCTGTGGTGGTTTTTAAGGTCCATGGTGGAGCAAAACAATATTCAATTTTGCTTATATGTGTTTTTAAAAGTTATATATATATATATGTATGGGAAAAGTTTATATAAAGTTGCAACCTTAAAATGTATAATCACAGGTGCACCTCAAAAATCTATCTAAAATGTTGTTTTAATGTTGAAAAAATCTTCTAATCGATCATCTCGACATTAAAATGTATGAATATGAAAAAAAAAAAATGCTTTTGAGTCCCAAAAATAGTTCATCTTGCAACACATTATCTAGACTGCCCATTTTCAAGATTTTTATATATTTATAAATTTACTTGATTTTAACTTTTTTTGGAATTCGAATTTTCTAATTAGGTATGAAAATAGATTTTAAGATAGTACTAAGAATTTTTTATAACAAAATTACATGATAAAATTTTAAGGTGCGCTTTGATTGAATTGTTTAAGGTTGCATCTTTATAGAAACCGCA